TATATTAAATAATTATGGTAAATAAGATCTCGTATTGTGCCTTAGATAATGATGAAAAAAATCAGAAAATCAAAAAAATCAAGTTATTGGGATCTAGGTTGATGTAGCAAAAAATTTCTTAGTTATATCATCATTTTAAATTTAATATGTAATACCTATACTGTTGTCACTGTAACTTAAATGCAAACAGTCATCATCATCATTCAATCTTCGCTTATCCACTGCTGGACATAGATCGCCCTCATAATTTTCCATCTATTTCGATCTTGTGCCTCGTGCATCCAATTCCTATGACAACGTTTTAGATCGTCAGTCCAACGTGTTGGTAGACGACCTCTCTGTTTCGGTAGGCATCATCTCTTGGTCTCCATTCCAGTACCCGCTTTGTCCATCTATTATCTGTCATAAGAGCCACGTGAACTGCCCAGTTCCATTTCAGTGTTGCTACTCTTTCTACTGCATCAGCCACTCCTGTGCTTTGTCGTAGCTGGCGATTTGGGATCTTGTCTCGTAGTGAAACGTCCAACATAGCACGCTCCATCGCCCTTTGACACACACGGATCTTTTGAACTGTTCTCCTTGTCATGGTCAACGTTTCCGCACCGTAAGTCAACACTGGCAAAACACACTGATTAAAGGTTTTTCTTTTAAGGCATATTAGTATATCAGACGATTTGAAAATATTGTTCAGCTTGCCGAACGCTGCCCAAGTCAGTCATACGACGGAGAAGCTCAACGGTTTATTTATCTTTTCCTATGCGGATCTCATGACCTAGGTATTTATAGGCCATTACCTGGTCTATGGATCTTGTTCTTACGCATATTTCTTCGCTGACTACAAGATTTGTCATCATCTGGGTTTTAGATATATTTATTTTCAATCCCCCTTCTAGCGAGTAAAGGTAGAGCTAATTTAAAAGTTCTTTGGCCTCATGTATCGTATTAGCTATTAGTAGGTACAATATCATCTGCAAACCTTAGATCGCTAAGCTTTTCTCCGTTTATGTTTATGCCCTTGTCGTTCAGTTTTGCCCTTTTACATATATATTCCAAGAGCGTAGTTAACAGTTTCGGCGATATGGTGTTCCCCTGGCGTACTCCACGTTGTATTGGGAATTTCTGAATGATAATGCAAACAGTATCACATTTTAAAATTATAGTGGCATATCTGCATATTTCTTCGAATTTAATCAATATCCTGGTTATTTGTTACGAATACTTCAACAAGCAAAACGTTACAATTTTATCCATGCCTATGGTAGGTCTAGTGTGAAATAAACGACAGTAAGCGATAAAAAATTAATTGTAAAAGCTTTCGAAAGCTCCGGTGAAAAAGTCTTTTCTGTATTTATGTCGTTTTGAATTCACAGCGACGATATGTTCTTGTTTTCTCATAACATGGTTCAATTTCATCTAAATACTATTTTCCAGTAATAAAAACGGCAATTACATCAAAATTATCTCAGATTGACGTAATATTGATTAAGGGATATTTAAAAAAAGTCAAATAGAAAATATAGATGAATAAAATAAAAATAGTTTGTATTAATGCCAATTAGTAAATAGGAAAGATTTTAAAAAGTTTACAAGCTTCCCAGACGGATTGCAAGATTTTTGATGATATTAAGTTTGAAGTACTATACCGGTGAAAGTACTAGCAAGATTTTTCAAGGTTTCCTTAATTATTTTTTATTTTGTAAGTGCCTTAAATGCTTCAGATTTGTCAATTTTTAATACACTTGCTTTAATTTTAAAGAGCGTGCATTTTATGTGTCTGAATCCTTTCATTTCTCCCTTCTGCTCTATATTAAACTATTTTACTATTGAGATTTGTCATATTAAAACTTATATTTGCTTATATTTAAAGAATATCTATACTTACCGTAATAATAAATCTGTTTTTTGGTCGACCTAACTTTTGATATCTACATGTTATGTATGTTTTTACATTGACTATTTCACTAGACTATTTTTAACAGATAAAGCGTCATAGCAACGCAACGTTTCCTACTGACAAAACCCCTTCCTGCACGTGATTTTTCAGCGATAAAATTATGACAGATCCGTCACGAAGGTGTCTGATAATTCTATTGTTGTCAGTTTGACAAACGTCAAATGCTACAAGAAAATATTTTACGGAGTGCGGCATAAAAATCGATCTTTTTACATATATATCTTTCAAATGTGTAAAATTGGCCAAATATACCAAGCGGAGGCAGCTTCAAAGTGTTCAAGAAAAAAGAAAACTCAGTTCAAAAGCATTATCCACCGAATAACTATTAAAAATCATCCAAAGCTAAGACGAGGAAAGTGTATCTAAGTGGTCAAAAATGTCAGCTAAAAAAATAGAATAGACACAAAAAAACATAAAATAGCAAAGCATTCATCGATCTTCAGCCGTGTGATCAACACCTTGCTTGAACAAGGCTGACCTTGTTTAAGCGAGGTGTTTCTGAACAGGGGAACTAGATGCTACAGGTCAATGATACACAAAATCATGCTTTGGTAGAAAAGAATGGGCAAACCACTATAGCTTATAATAATTGTACATTTAATATTGTTAAAAAATAAATAAAGATTATGTTTCGTTGATATGGTGCGGTAATTGTCTAGTGAAATAGTTTTGTGGAATATCATTCGAGAAAAAATTATTTACCGGCAAAATTTTCTTCTGGTTTCATTCAAGTTTGTTTCCTTTTGGCAATTTTTCTTTATGAAATTTTGACAAAATCATTCGACTGACGTCTCGATTTAACTGTAAAAATTAAATTGGCGAAAATTGTCAGGCAACAATTTTTCATATCAGTCGAAAATATTGCCGGCAAAATTTTCTCTCTTATGATATTATATAAAAATTATGTTAACATATGAAACACGTGCACAATTTTGATTCATAGACTTAATTTCATTGTTTATATACATTATTATTATACATGCAAATATTTTTTATTTGACACTCCATACTTTTAATTATCAGGACTTAAGTTTCCTTGTAGATAAAGTTTCCAACCTTTGTTTTTGGTAACCACCCGCATATAACTGCTTCTATTAATCCATCAACCGCGTTCGGTCCATTGGTTAGAGGCAATTACGCAAATTAATAACGGGAGAGTAACAAAGTTATTAATGGGTGAGAAATTAATAGGATACGGACGTATCTCTCAAAGTTACACCTCAGTTTGTGTTTCAAACATTATCACTGTTCATTTAACACCGATAAGGTTGTGAGAGAGAGTTTATCTCTTATGGCTTTACCAAGTTTTTAATAAATGTTCAATAGTTTACTTTTTGGGTGATTGTGAACGATAAACCTGCATCTATTTTAGATATTCGTCAGAGTAAACGGAATACGTATCTAAAAATAAGTAGGAAGAGTATAAATAAAAATGTATAAATACAACAATGTGTAAATGTGATGAGAATGACTATTTAGATTTTCATTATCATAGAAAGAGCAATCAAAATTAAGTTAATTTTAAATAATAGACAATACTTATTATTTTAATTTATTAATATACATAAGCGAGGGCAAAGGAATATTGTCGAGCTGAGAGAGTACCGTTAATAAGAACTAGAGATGATCTGCATCTTGCATAAAGCAAATATATAGCACTTCATACCGTAATGCTTGGTGTTGAAGTTGTATGACGTTCGGCAGCCAAGAGTATATTTCGTCTTTCACCTCGACAAGGTCTTAACCTTATGTGCCCATCAGAGCCACCCAAACAAAACCTAGATTCATCACTGAAGCAAACAAAATTCCATTGGCCATTCCAGTTTTGCCGAGCACCGCGCCATTCTAAGCGTCGAGCCTTATGCTGTGGTGTCAAAGGTAACACCAAAAGCAAACGATAACCTCCCAGTTCCATTCCTAGTTATCTTTTATTAACTTTCGTTCTTGAGACTACCTTTCCTGTATCTGCAACGAAATTATCTTTTACTTGATGTACATAATTCCGTCTATTTCTGAGAGTAAGAAGGCTAAGACGGCGCAAATCACGGCCTTCCAATATTCTAGGACATAAAGACCCTCCAAGAGACCGTTCATGATATAGTCTTACTCATAATAACATTCCCATACCCAGATCATATCTACCATTTCATTAACACTAAAATGCATCTTAACTATGTAATAAGTTTTTACACAAGCAATGATGGTGAACTGTCAGTTTTAGTCAATTCAGTGATAACTTACTTAAAATTTGTAAAAATTTAGACACCTAAATAATAATTTACTTTAAAAAATAAAAATATCTTAAAAACTAATGCATTTCTTTTTCTTCTTGATGTGCCTATCCGTTACGAATATTGGCGATCATCATGGCAAATTTTATCTTATCTGCAGCAGCGGGGAAAAGCTGCAGAGATGTATTGAACCAGACTAATGCATTTAGACATAGGGAATGTTAAATAAAAATTGAAGATGGTAGTGGTACTTTTCGATAGTGACATAAAATACAGGGTCGTTTATTTAAAATTACTGAGAGAATAATGTACTTACGTTTTGATACATCTCATATTCGATATAAAGGAAATTAGCAATATCAATCATTTTTGAAAATTTTTACAATCAATAAAAAAATTTGGTATCCATAGATCATTGTTGTGTTTATTTTTCATTATACTAGGAGTTAAGCTTGTACAGTTTTCATAGAAAATTGGTTATAATCTTGTAAATACCCTGTGTGACTTAACAAAACTTTATATTGTTTTGATTATGAAGTGAAGAATTTTTCGAATATAAATCGCAGTGAAGCCCATCCTCACTTAGTAACATAACATATTATCAACAATTCTATTCGAATTCTATCCGTGAGCGCTAAGATGAAAGAATATTGGTAACTAAGTATTTGCAACAAATTGGCGCTGCTTTCTCACTTGTTACAATGTATTGAATGTATTCTTTTAGTTGCATTACGCTGAAAAAGACTCAACACGGGAGTTATTTTTTGTATTTTCTTTAATTTTGTAGAAAAATGGAGTGATTAAAAGAAGGAACTATGTATTTACTAGATTTGGGTGGAGAAGGTGGAGTTAAGGTAAAACCTAATGAAATTATAAGTATATAGGGAGCATTTATTATTTCTTTATTTAAAATCTAAAATAAATCAAAATGTATTTCAATAGTTTGTTTGAAGTGAAATATTCACTAGATTCATTCCTACCTAATACTGTGTACACTAAGTACATCAATATGGTAAGATTCTCCTGTGACTAAAAACCTAAGCGCCAATTGTTCGAACGCTAATTAATACTTGATTGTAATCAAATATTTAATTAAAATCAGATACGTCACATTTTGAGCTTCTGTTGACTGATTTATTTTATTTAATTTTATTATTTTGCGTTTTAATTTAAAATGAACCATAAATAAACTCTTTCGGGTGTTAATTTCATGTTTTTATTTATAAAAAATAAGCAATTTTTAATAATTTTGACAGCTGCTATGACGTATTTAATTGTAATTAAATATTTTATTACAATGAAGTTTTGATTAGCATTCGAACAATCATCCCTAAGGGTAACAGCTAGTCGTTCTTGTATAGGTATTGCGTCCCTTAATCGAGTGTCTTTCTTAAATATTTTAGGGCCACCTTACTAATAAAAAATTCATAATTGAAGTTAGCCATTTAATGAACTAGCGTTATCAACTTTTAAAGTTATATTACCACCACAATACTTATTTCGTGTACTGTAAACAAAATGCTCAAAATCGCCTCTTTTTCTCTTCAACTTTGCGCGCAAAACTAGACAAGCGGAAGCTGCCAGAAGTACATCATTTTCGTCAGACGGTGCTATAAAAATGTTACTTATTACTTGCAGCCCGAATAAGGATGTTCAAAAGTCAACACAAAAGCTACCAACATGTTATTAGAAACATGTTGGTAACAAGTTTCGGTAACATGTTACTAAGTGAGGACTGGCCTGCTGATCGAAGATGATCGAACGATTAACCTGCTGTCTCATGTTTTGAATATTGTGTGTGAATATCCTCTATATCTAAATATACAGGAAAACGCCAAAGTAAGTGTATAATATATTTATAATAGATTTTTTTGGCATAGACTTTTAGTCATTCAGCCAGACTCAGCATGGTATAAATGGTTGTCTGTGTTTATATTAAAATAAATACTTACAATGCAATAAACAGGTAAACGGGGTTACTCTCTTCTCGCCTAGGGGCTTATAATAGATAATATCTGTTAAGTTATATACATATACTAATATTAGTAAACCGATTATGAGTAAGTTTTCTCTTATTTTTATCTTAATGCTTTCTACATTTCTTGACTGTTTTAAAAACATCAATGTTTAATTTGTTTGAAGTTAATTTTTGCTAATGTTCGCAGATGCTGTATTCGTATTGTAATATTCGTTATAACTCTCTCATGTCGTTTGCAAAAATGACTGTATCATTAGCATATTTACTGTTATTTGTGTTACTTCTATTGACCAAAGATCTACGAAGATCTAAGAAGTTACAGCGATCTACCAAAATGTTTTAATTCGTCAATGGTTTCTTGCTTAATTATTCGATTGAAACAGGTCAATTGATATTTTATCTGGCCATGTAACTTTTTCGTCTTTAGTGTGTTTGTAGCATAAATCACTTATACTTTATTATTTCTGGTCCCGTGAAGTTAATTTGGTCACGTATTAAATAAAATGTAAATAAATTATAATGAAACTAAGAAACAAACTATGCAGATGGTGATTGGAAGCATTATTTTAATAGAATTACTTCTTTTCAGATTGGAAGAGCGACAGTTAGGGAATCTCGGTCCCTTCGTCTTGTCCACGATGTCCATCTTAACAGTCACCGAGAAGATGCTTCGCAACAGCCTCTTTTGGTAATTGGAAATGGAAGGACGTACAGCGTGTCCGAAACTTCTCCCAAAAGGGCCATTATGGGAGTGATTCAAAAAGCGGCGTTGATCAAGAAATCTAAAAGTAACGGTTCAATAACTACCAACGATGACGGCGATGAACAGGTAACATAAATATTTATAAATACACGGCTTTTAGAGTTACAATAAACTTAAAATATTGAGCGTTAATTTTTATACCTAGAAGCAAACACTCCTGGGTATAAAAGAGATACATACCGGATTTTATTTAAAGAGATATTAAATATACGGGAGGGGTATGATTGTGCACGTGATTAGTTATTTTTCTGTTCATCATATACTTATTATCTATCTCTATAGATTTTATTTTTCAACGGTTTAAAATATTCTTTCTCAATATACACATACATATATGACCTTGAAGGACAAATGAGGAATTAATAAATGATGGGTGAATTAATCGATCGATTTAGTTCATTTAAGTAAACTATTTTCACACAGGAAAACAAAAAACAAAAAACGAAATAAGTATATCGATAGAAGGCACCGTATATACGTATTTTTGACTATATTCGCCTTCAGTACGGTAGAGTCAAGTTATAAAAAGAGTATGTTAATTTGGAAAACGATCACTACAGGAGCAATCCCACCAATTTGTGGCATTAGCGTTAGAAAACCCTGATGATTTCCAGGGCCAGAACTAACAATAACCATGGAGGAAGCTACAGCTACCTCAGGAATGGAAACGTTTAAATCAAATAAAAAAGGTTAATGCGAGTAAATAATAAATGTAAATGTAATGGCATGTCAACATAGACAACAGAAATAATTTCCGCCTCCCTTAGTGAGCGACTACTTAAAAAGAAACAGTATAAACCTCGTACAAGAAACAACCTTGTATGAATACCGCGAATGAAAACCTGCTCTGCGCTAACCGAAACCTTCTTATCTGAATACCGCAGGTGTACGATAATAATAACATTAATAATACCAGTGACATTGGTAATCTTTTTATAAATCATATTTAGCTATTGTCTAGTAGTATTGTTTAGTTACCTCTCATAATTATTTGGAACCATACCTTTGATACAGTCTTAAAACTCTTAATTGTACACAAAAATTGGGAACAACGAGAGTCTTCTTAGCTAACTTTTTGGTCTAGATTGTAAAGGTGAAGTCTCAAGTATGCCTGAACTAGTCAAGTAATCATATATCAAAACGTAAAAAATTATTAACAAAAACGGAGCAACTATTACCGTGGAGATTCAAAATGAAGTTAGTTTCAATTATTAGGATGAAAATATAGTTCTAAGTAGAATATAGTAGATAAAAAACCAAGAAGCTATACTACTATTCATAATATAAATGTTTAAAAATAAAAACTTTCGTTTCGCCAAAAATAGACAGAAAATAGTGTCTCATACCATTCACCAAGGTACACTTACTACAAAACATGTATTCGAAAAAAATGTCGCTTAAATGCGAAGAAAACTTTATCTTTTTTAATTAAGGAGCTATATTGTCTTAGTTTTACAAGCTAGATAAAAATGTCAAGAATATCTCATTGTTTACATTTACTTTACATATGTGCAGTCACACTCAGTAGTAAGGGCTTTTCCCTATCTATATAAGTTGTCAGCACATCTACCGCCGCTTGTTCTTATTCTGTTTAGCGTTGTCCGTGTATTGCAGGTCAGTCCAAAGCCTGGCGGTTTCTTATCGATACAGGTCATTTGGTGTGCTTCTTGTGGTAAGTCGTTCTCCCATAGTCTTCTCCAAGCGTTGGTCAGGTTGAAATGTTTCTGATGTAAGGAGTTGGTTCTTAGTAATGGAGGATATCTGGAGCGCAGTCTGTTTATTTCGATATCAAGCTTATCATGGGGGATGGGTAATTGATGGTTCGTCTCGATTTTTCGATATTCTTTGAGAAGAGAATGACTTATTCGGGAGACTGTAGGTGACTTCGACAGTCATCATGAACTCTGGAAGTATAGGCACAATTATTAAAACGGTGTGGCTCTAATAAACTGGAGTGAAGAGGTTGACACATTTAGTCTTTGACGCTCGATCCGCAGCCTGTAGGCGAGAATATAACCCAGACCTATGTTTTGTTTCCACAATAGAAAACAATCAACCACTGGCAGCTTCACGTACAGTACTGTCAGATTTTCCACATAGCCAACATAGACCAGTTGCAATAGAAATTGGCATCAAAATATCAACAATATCATCTTTCCTCGACCTAGGTGGAACTTTCCAAAAGAAGACGAGGCAACTTTTACTCAAGATTGAATAAATTTCTGGAATGGAACCCCCCCAACACGTTCAAACTGCATAATAAAAATCAGTGAATGGATTTCAGTTCATGTAAATTTTACCTATTTAACAAATGAGCAACTAGACATAGTAATTAACAATAAAATCATCCCATGCCACAATTTAATCATTAATCTAGTCATAAACTTATGAAAAAAAAAAGGGAAAGCTTAACCTTGAATTGAAAAAATGTATTAACTCCTTGAACGAAAAGTTACTGAGATATAATCAAATACTAATATCCGCCTGGGGATGTACAACTAAAAATAATTTGTTTTTTTCAAAAATTTCAAAACAAATAACTGATACGCGTACTGAATCCACCATTTTTTTTATAGCAATTATGATTACAAACACACTAAAGATGCTCACAAAAAAAAAGAAGTCAAGAGGTTAGCACAGGAGCGCCAAGAGAGATCCCACGTTCACGTCGACAATAAAGTGCTTAAGCTTCTTGAAAATTCGTCAATCAGCAGAACTCCTAAGAGAAGGAGCTGTTTGATCGAGTAAAATAGTGTTAGTTCTAATTCGAGAATATTAGTGAACATTTAATTTAGAGAAACTTTAATTTTAAAAACAACGAAGATATACCAGTGGGGATTTCTTAGCTACTTAACTAGTTTGCAGTATATTTAGTATATGAGACGTACATAGAAATCAGAAGAATGAGGTGGTTTTGATAGTCCCAGAAATTATCCTGATCGTTTGTTCTAATACTCTGACGACTTTGTCTACATAGGGACTGTTCCATCCAGACTGATATACAGTATTCGATCGTTGAGTAAACCGACTCTGAAGTAGTGCGGAGTCTTTATGCATCAGCTTCCCAGGGTATTTCCGATATTTTGTACATTACGTTGTTTTTTGAATTTTAGTTTTGTAGTTAGAATTTTCAGATATTTATTAAAAGAGGAAGTGCGATCCAGCGCCATTCCCATGTATTTTGGATATGGGTTAAATAGTAACATTGTGCCGTTAAGCGATATCTAAAGGCGCATTGTCAAGTATATGATCCAAGTGGAAGCATAAGGTATTATGTGATATGTTGGTTGCCAGGGCAATGTCATCAACATACACGAACTGATTAATGGGTCAGCCACATAAAGATTAGCAATTAGCATATTTTGCACCATAAAGGTCACCGATTTGCATCTTGTTGTTATTAGGTGATTAAATTCTAATCCCTATTTCCATACAGTATTATAGGTAGCTGGTCCATGAAGATTGCATCTGGTTTTGTACGTAGTTTGTAGCTCGGCTTGAGGAATGTTGTTAATGGTAGGACCTAGTCCACATAACTTCGGTTTGATCTTGATCCTGTCTGATCTATTGGTAGATATTCAAGTATGATTGGTTTTAGCCTATTGTAGACGAAACGGGCAAACGGTTTATAAGCTATGCATAAGTGGGCAATAGGCCTGTAGCTTTCGGATTTGTTGTTTGGCTTTAAAGGTTTGAGAATGGCAATGGTTTTTGTTTTCTTGAATTCTTTAAGTAAGATCTTTGAATGGAGAATCTGGGAATGTCCGTTGTCATTTCTGCACTTGTAAAAAATTTTGGCAAGTCTTGTCCTTCTTATATATTTATATATATATATATATATATATATATATATATATATATAATATATATATATATAAATATATATATATAAATATATATATATATAAATATATATATATATATATATTTATATATATATATATATATATATATATAAATATATAAATATATATATATATATATATATATATATATATATATATCTATAAGATATATATATATATAATATATAAATACATATATATAAATACATATATAAATATATATATATATATATATATATATATATATATATATATATATATTCGGTATTTTAGGCGGTACGCCCTTCCGGTAGGGATCTATGGAGGAGTATCACCAAGCTGCAAGCTCTTATCTCTTGCCGTACTTCTCCACCGTAGGCCGATCAGACACCAGCATATTCTAGTCTAAGCCGCTGATTCATTTAGAATTTTAAACTGCTGCGTTAGCATTTTTGTTTTCTGTATACCGAGCTGGGGATCGAACTGACATCACTCGCAGTGAAGCGAATGAGAACCGGCCACCCAGCCCGCTTGGCTATCTGACCGACCTTCTTGTCCATCTTGTCCTTCTTAACGCCCTTATCTCGTGTGTATTTTTGACTGATGCTCTGGACGCTTTCACTATGTTGTTGGCAATTTGGTCAGGGCTGACATTTTGCTTGGTTTAAACATGAGAGTTAGCTACTAATTCTTTCGGAAGGCTCCATACTTTTTTACCAGTTCGTTTGGCCATTTGGTCATTCTTGCTTTGCTTAGGTTGGCAGTAGGTCGTCTTCGACTTCTGATCTTCCGTTCTCTATATGGTCCTCATACTTATACAGTCTCTTGCTGGTTGCATTCCTGTCTGGTATAACCTCTTTTCTAAGGCCTCTAGGAAAGTGTTTCTTGACTATCTTAAAGGCTGTGTTTTCAAATTTTTGATAGTTCTGAGGTTGAAGTGGAAGAATCGGATCTTAGAATCTAAGTCTCTGGCGAAGCTAATCCAGTCGGATTTGTAGAAGTTCCAGCGACTCAACTAAGCAGTTGGGATGTGTGGATCACATAAATCTGTATACCGACTTCTAAAAAAACTGGTGTGTGTTGTATAGATATATGAAATATATCTTATAGATATAGATATACAGTATCTAAAAATCTATACAGTATATAAAAATCCTGAAACCCATCGATTTTTATTTTTAAATAAGCTATTCGTAAGAATACATTTTTATTTTTGACGTCATGTATGTGAGCGTGATGACGTCATTGCTAAAATTTTTAAATAGAAAGGGGGGTATTGCAATATGTACATCATTTGAAAGGTCTTTTAAATACCTATTCAGCCATATCAATATGTCTGAGTATTTGATGTTTGTAATTATTAAAAAAAAATTATTAATTATTTATTATTACAATAAATATTTATTAAGTATTGATATGATGTATTATTGACACCCAAAAATAAATTTTATAAAGGCCATCACTGGTAATGAAATGTCTTTTTTATCTACTTTTTACCTTTTAAAAAAAACATTTAAACTTAATTCTCTTTCTGTAAAGTGATTAATAGTATTATTGTAGTAAACATATTCAAAAAGTCTTTGTATATTTGAACATGAAGCTAACTGAAACGCAAAGAATTGAAATTCTCATAATGATTGGTTATGGAGATAAAACACGTACGCAGAAAGAAGTATGTGCGTTTTTTAATAATAATTACCCCCGTCGAGAACCAATTTCACAATCCACTGTAAGCAAAATTGAGAAAAAACTTAGAGAAACGGGTCATGTTAAAGACCTTTCTAAAGGTAGTAGAAAACCAATATCTGAAAACCAACAAGGAGACGTTCTGCAAGTAGCATTAGATAATGACATGGACCATTCAACAGTTCTTAAACAGCTAAATAAGGAAAAGTGGCATCCCTACAAAGTAAGTTTAGTACAAGAACTTATGGAAGATGATTTTGATAGACGAATTGAATTTTGTGACATTATAATGGAACGAAATAACAGATATCCGATGTTTTTAAAAAAGATTATTTTCTCTGATGAAGCTGCATTTCTACTAAACGGTCATGTCAATCGTCAAACTTATCGGTACTGGGCTATGGAAAATCCACACTGGATGCAAGAGTACCGTACTCAATACCCAGAGAAAATTAATGTTTGGGTGGAAATAATAGATAATAGGTGTATTGGACCATACTTTTTCGAAGAAAACTAAACAAGTCCTCGATATTTAGAATTTCTTCAAAATTTCTTGCTGCCAGAATTGAACCGGTTGTTTCCAAACAGAAATGATTTATGGCTACAGCAAGATAGTGCGCCTCCACACTATGCTGTCTTGGTACGCAACTACTTAAACAACGTCTTTCCAAATCGGTGGATAGGTCGAAGGGGAACAATAGAATGGCCGCCTAGGTCACCTTATTTGACTCCTCTTGATTTCTTTTTATGGGGATATTTAAAAAGTAAGGTGCATCAAAATAGACCACAAAATATTAATGAACTGAAAGGAAAAATACGTAATGAGGTTGGTCAACTAACTCTGGACGTTTTAGATAATGTTAGAGAAGAGTTCGCTGCACGCCTTTCTCATTGTATTTTAGCTGAAGGTAAACAATTTGAGCACTTAATTTAGGTTTCGTTGTATTTATTGAATAATACTTAATAAATATTTATTGTAATAATAAAAATTTAATTATTTTTTTAAACAATTACAAACTTTAATTACTTAGACATATTGATATAGCGTACTAGGTATTTAAAAGACCTTTCAAATGATGTATTACAATACCCCCCTTTCTATTCAAAAATTTTAGCAATGACGTCATCACGCTCACATAGATGACGTCAAAAATAAAAATGTATTCTTACGAATAGCTTATTTAAAAATAAAAATCGACGAGTTTCAGGATTTTTCCTTAAAGTCTCCGGTTTACGAAATAACGAATTTATTCCTTTCATTTCCTCCATACTGAATATATATATATATATATATATATATATATATAATATATATATATATATATATATATATATATATATATATATATATTATATCTTTATTTGTTTCGTTGCTGGTTTGGGAGCTATTGACGTGTATAAATAATTGTTTTAAAATATATTTTTAAATTTTAAAATATTCGTAATTTTTAAAACGCATTTATACTAGCTAGTGGAAATAATAGGTAAATATGTACAAATCACTTTAAATGCAGGACATAAACAATATTTCGTGTTTTATAAATACAATTTTAATATAAACGGAACACATTTATCTGAAAAATAATTAACGCTCTTTTAAAAATTTTTGCTCGCTGTAAACGTAATGTTATTTTTAAAACTCAATTTTATCCCGGAAACTAGTTTATTGATCAGTTTGTGTAACTGAGTTTTTTAATAGTAATAAACCACAATTATATAAACCGTATTAAATGAGGTATACATGTTTGATTATTACATTTATTACGACCGAACTTCTATTAATTTGTTTTGTCTAAAAAAAAAACGAAACAAAAAAATATTATAACTCACAGTTCCCTGCTTTCACCACATTCTTCATATATATTACAACTAAACACTTTGTACCGGTATATTGCAACTCAGGACTCTCAAGACCAAATAGAAGATTAAATGAAGGTTTCACATCTAATGCTCAGTTCGTCATAGCTTCCATAAGTGGCGAAACACCAGATCTAGACTAAATTCCTTGTTCTTACGTCTCGATGATATTTTCTCGGCAAACCAAAAATCTTCGCCCTCATGATTTCTCTTTGATGGGTGATTGGTTTCCGGTTTAGGGCATCTAGCTGAGGCATCTGGCAAATGTAAAAAACTACTTTTAATTCTTCTAGCTACAGTTTCCAATGCAAATAAATGATTGAATTGTATTTATTTCAATCGACGCTTTTGAGAAGCAATTCTAAAACAACGCAAATCATTAAGCCCTTATGCTTATGAGATTTAAGTAGAAAGCTTATGACATTTAAATTTTGTTATCTCGTTCGAAGATTCTTAGATGCAGTATACTAAGTAAGTGTAAGTGCTTTCTTTCCGATGTTTGAAAGTCGTGTATTAAAACCGTTATAGTCTGAAATTATTTATTCAAAACAGGAAACATTGTCAAAGAGTCGTAACTCCCTTCCTTCCGAAAAGTATTTTCGTACTTACACATTATAAAACTGAATTTATCCTAATCTTTAATATTGTAGCAAATAGTATTTATTATCTATCGTGGCTGAATGGATCAGCAATCCACAGCCAATAAAACATTAAAAAACTAAATTTGTGAATAAGTTTTTATTACACTTTTACAGTATTTTACTTTTATTTCAGATCTATTGGCTAAGACCAGCTATTGTACCTTCTCAAAACTCGCCGGATGGATCCAAATACTTCTGCTGGTTTAAGAAGAAACCGAAACAAAAAGTTACTTTCGATGAATCGACAAGTAATGCAGCTAATCGGTAACATGGCTTTTCTTACCTCTAGATGTTAAGTTTCGTGTCCTAATTTTTGTATATAGATGTGTTAAGATGTACACTATCAATTGCAAGAAATATTTTCTATATACTGTGTGACACTGCCATTTAAACGTTATATTTTCATATATTTTTGGTAAATAATTGGGCTGGTATAATATATCAAGTGATTATATATTTACTGTTAATTTACTTTATATTATTTAAATAATAATTTGTGATTCATCTCAATTTAATACTTCTTAATATTCCGAGATAATAAAGTGCTCACTTAAAAATTACTTTTTAAGCGTCGTAGATCCATTATTCAGCTAGGCAGTTGACCAAATGTCCCATACAGGTTAAGTGGATGAAAAAGCAGAACACAGTCTAGCTAGCCAGGGAAGAACGATAACTTAGAAGTTACTAAAAAGCCTGTATTGACTGCTGATGTATAAGACCTGGTATCACTCGGATTAAAAATTTGGTTTTAATACGAAACAGGGTCACACTCTTAAAATTTTCCTAAGAATACACAAGATTAGCCGCAAATGCGAAGAAGATCTCGAAGATACCTAGTTTGGTTTTAAAACTGCTGTGGGAACCAGGGAGGCACTTTTTGCGCTTAACATCCTATTACAAAAATGCCGTGACCAAAGAAAAGATGCATGTTTCGTAAACTTCAAAGAGGCATTCGATAAAGTACGGCATGTAAAATTAATGCAAATATTGAAAAATATTGGAAAAATGACAACGATATTCTACAACTGATCCTCAAAAGGATCCTCAAAGGGCAAAATGGAAGGCCCTAGAGGTGTAGGAAGAAAACAAGTTTCTTGGTTAAATTCCATTCGTGAATGGACTGATATCAAATGCGGGACAAATATTTCATTTGGCAGAAGATCGAAAAGCCTTGGTGATCGTCAACGTCGGATAATTCATATATGGCACGTGAAGAAGGGAAAGTTACTCAATCTATATTATAGAAACTGGTGCTAGAATAATTATGGATGTATTCGGGAGCATTCAGTTTATTTCAAGAAATAGTAATGAATGATTGCATATAAAATTGCACCTGGTTACTCCTACGATAAGCACTGTTTCGTATTTTTCTTCTTACGGTGCCTATCCGTTCCGGATGTTGGCTATCAACATGGCTATCCTAACTTTTCTTGCTGCTATTCTGAATAGTCCGATGTCGATGTATTAAACCACTTTCTCAGGTTTTGAACCCGAGATATTCTTCTTCTCCCTGGTACTCTCTTTCCAAATACCTTGCCCTGAAGAATGAGTTGTAACAAGCCGTATCTCTGTTCATTCCTCATAACATGGCCAAGATATTCTAGTTTGCGCTCTTTAATGGTGTTAATAATCTCACATTCCTTGCCTATTCTACGTAGGACCTCAACATTAGTCACACGATCCACCCATGAAATTCTTAAAATACGTCTGTAACACCACATCTCGCATGCCTCGAGTTTTCTTACAGAAGCTTCGGAAAGTGTCCAGGCCTCTACTCCGTATAATAACGTAGAAAATACATAGCATATAATGAGAGAAATTTTGGTAGCAAGTGTAAAATCGTGACTTCTGAAAAAAGACTTTATCATTATTAACGCTGATCTCGCTTTTCCTATGCGTTGTTGTATTTCACTGAAGTAATCCCATTGGCTGTTAATGTTGGTACCAAGGTATGTATAGCTATCCACTCTGTCAATTGGATGTTGGCTAACCAAAAGCTGTGTATTTAATGTTTCGCGCTCACTGACTACCATGTACTTTGTTTTCTTCGTATTAAGATCAAGTCCGTGTTCTCTACTTATATCTGATATACGCGACATTATTCTTTACAAACCGTCCAGACTATCTGCAAAAACTACTGCGTCGTCGGCATATCTAATGTTGTTTAGATGCATTCCGTTGAATAATACGCCTTATTGTAGTTGTCCTAGCGCTTGCTCGAAGATATATTCAGAGTATATATTAAATAACACCGGAAACAGAATGCATCCTTGCCTCACTCCTCTATCTATGAAGACTGCCTCTGTCAATTGGTTATCTACTTTAATATTGGCTGTTTGGTTTTAATATAAATTATAGATGATTCTCAAGTTTCTATCATCTAATCCCACTTCTTTCAAGATGTTTATAAGTTTATCATGCTTTACTCTATCAAATGCTTTTTTGTAGTCGATAAAATAAGTATACACATCAGAGTTAACAACCCTGTATCTTTGCATAAGTACTTGGACAGCGAATAGAGCTTCTCGGGTGCCTAAGGAATCGCGGAATACAAAATGCGTCCATGATACTTGTTCTTCGCATGTTTTATATATTCTGCCGTGTATCACTTTCAAGAACGTTTTAAGTAAGTGGCTCATTAGGCTAATTGTTCTGTAGTCGTCGCATGTCTTGGCATTTACTGTTTTTGGTATGACCACGAAGGTCGACTTTAACCAGCTTTGGGGTATTTTTCCAGTTACGTATATGTTGTTGAATACAGTTGTTTTCCATTTTATTTCCTGTTCATCCATAAGTTTTAGGAATTCTGCACAAAATTCGTCAGGCCCTACCGCTTTACCATCTTTAGTTCTTTTAATAGCTGACGTGACTTCTTCAATGGTAATCGGGGTCCTGTTTGGCATTCAGTGTCTTCAATGGTATTCTGCCTTTCGTCTGCAAAAGTTACTTCCATATAGTTCTTCCAAGTGTCTACTCTTTCTTCCACAGGTAACAGTGGTTTGCCTTGGTTATCTGCCAAACATCCAACTCCTCTAGGTTTGTATCAACCTGCGGCTTCTTTAGCTTTTTTGTGCATACTAAATTAATCGTGTTTATGTTGCAATTGCTGTATTTCCGCACACTGTTTTCTTAGATGTGTATCCTTAGCTATTCTAATAGCTTTTTTGATCTTTTTATCGATTCTTTTGTATAATGACATCTTTGAACTTTCGCCTCTCTTTCATCATATCTATGTATGTAACTTTTCTAGCTACTGGTCCATTACATCCGATTGAATAACGGTATTCAAATTGTTCTGTATATACCGCTTTACACTATGTTCTGTGTGTTGGTCTTTTAATAGCTTGATGTCGAATTTTGGATTGACACTACGTCTAACGTTCTTTAGCCTGAGCCTAATTTTGCCAATCAGTGGGTTATGGTCTGATTTCATATCAGCTTCTGGGTATGTCTTGACTGATGTTATAATGTTCCGGAATCTTTTATGATGAATAAAAATATACTACGTGTAATTGAATGTCTCTTAGTTCATCATGTCTTCGACGAACATTTCTTCATTCACCTTTGAACTCTAAGGAAAATCCAGACCCGTTATTGAATACAATTCGCTTCCATTTATGGTCTAACCGGACTTGAAATATAATCCTAAAGACCAAATACTATAAATAAAATTATAAACTGGTCGAAGATATAATTATTATCCTGTAACAACAATCCATTTTTGTACCACTGACCTTCTTCTGGTGCATGAGGTAAATTGTTACTTGTAAAAATCTAACTGGTCAATTGATCAAAGAAGAAATTATAAAATAATGAAAAATCCTGGCATAGGACAGTGTTTTACACCCAAGTGATTTAGTTATTATGACATAACTTTTATGTATGTCAGAAATAAATAAATAAGGACTTAGGTATCAACTAGCCACAGTTAAGAATAAATAATGCTCAGTGAAGGCCAGTAAAAAATGACCAAAAACAAAAACAAAACAAAAACATGTAGCCTGTTTGATGAAATGAAGAGTTTAGAATTTTTTTAGTTTTGTTTTTGTTTTTTAGGTTTTAGAACACACAAACAAAGATGCCTTTAAATCGCCGTGTTTTGTGACCTCGATTTTTATTGAAATAGGTGTCCGAAAAGTGGTACAACTGATTTCTAGTATATTGCCAAAGATGTTATCTTGTGACAAGTAGGTCTTTGAGACAGCAGAGTCAGTAAAACACAGGTTTAAATTATATAAAAATATATTCGAAATAAATAAATAACAAAGTCAGATTAGATCCTAGGTAATATATACAATAATAGTTAAAACGTCAATGCTGGCGAATCTGGCATTGACTGCGATATACCCCACTGTTTATTATCTGCAAAAAATAAAGTAAAATTAATGACATAAAATCCAAACGGCAATTACAGTGTTCTAAAACACTCACAGACAGGAAGGGAACGGGTCAAAGGAATAGAGATGAAACGGGCCAATCAACACTCGGCCCGGCGAGCAACGGATGGAACCAATCAGTACTTGGTCACAGGAGAACATAGGTCTGTCTCAGGGCAATTCTTTAGAACCGAGTACGGAACTACTACTAGATCAATACCCCAGTAGAACCGGTTGGCCTTCAGTAAATACCCTAGGGCTGATGGAGTCGTTGTCAGATTAAACTCCGATGGAACTCCCTTTCGATTGTGGCGGCTGCTCTTTTTCCATCTTCTCTAGCGCACATGTATGGAGGAGGAACTTGTGGTGGGGATGCGTGTATACGAAGCGCTGACGGTACCGAAGCAATGCATATCGTAAATTAAGTAAATTAAACTATATTTTTTTATTATTATCGATTGTTACAAGTTTCAACAGCAGCATTAGTTGCATCTGTGAAAACCGATCGAAACTAAATTTTTATCAGTATTTCCTTTCAGCAACATCTTAGCTGTCAAAATGTTGTTAGGACTTCTTAGAGAACAGCTAAGTTTTATGTTTTACTTGCTGTGAAATGTTCAATGTCACACAGTATATAAATATATTAGTTAATAATACTAATTTTAAATTATGTATAACGAAGACCATAATAAATGTCACATCCCAATTCTATTTTTAAGTCAAAATGAGAGGAAAGTGATTAAGGATGTAATACATTTTGAAATAATCCTAAAAGTTACACTATAGACAAAAAACGATAAAGGTGAAGAAGTTTCTCTTATTACGGAAATAATAACCAATATATCTAATAAATACTCTGAAATAAAATTAACTATTCTTTTTATAAATGTTA